AGTATATAATAATAGGATCAGCTAATATTAACCAAAGGTCTATGGATGGAGGTAGAGACTCGGAGATCGCAATGGGAGCATACCAACCTAAGCATCTGCTATCTACCAATCAAATGAGGCCAACGGGGCAAGTTTTCAGCTTTAGGATATCCCTATGGCTTGAACATCTACGGATTATAACCAATACATTCCAGTTTCCTGAAAGCGAAAAGTGTATAAGAATGGTTAATGCAAAGGCAGATGAGTTATGGGGACTATACGCAGCACAAGTGTACCCTCGGGATCACGATCTTCCAGGGCATTTGCTTAGTTATCCTATTAGCATTGGTAGCAATGGTGAAGTAACAAGTCTTGCTGGGGCTGAACTCTTTCCTGATACTAACGCAAAGGTTTTAGGCGAAAAATCTAACTATCTCCCTCCAATTCTCACTACTTAAATGATGTAATCGATTTACAATATATTTGTTAAGTATTGATTAATATTTAAGAAATCTTCTGCATTTTATTTTGTTGTGTCCCATATATATGAATTCCGATATAACCAGAGCCGTGCCTGAAAAATATTGGTCCAGAAACTAAACAAATTTTGTTAGCTTATTATCTTCATTTTTTTTAAAGGCTAAAAACTTGCAATTTCAGGACTTGAACCCTGCATCTTTAATTCATTACCAGTGTTTTTACTAGTGGAGCTACTTACATTTTCTATTTTGACCATGTAATTATAAATATCTATTCGAATGATCCGAAGCAAATGCTTTATTAGTTTCTTTCTACTCAGGCACGGCCCCTAGATACAACCATACACGCATGCATATATGTCACAACATCAGTGTTACATATCATTAGTTTATCATTAGCTAAATACCTAGAAGAAAAAACCCTAATTAGCAAGAGCCAAGAAGTTAGAATCCCACAAAAACAACAACGATTGGAGGAGTATACATCGGTTTATGTTAATATAAGCAACTCTTGAGAATCAATTCATTATAAAATAGTGAAGTTTGAAGCTAGTAGACTAGTAGTGGTATGTATACCAATGGAGTCTAGACCGTTCAATAGCCTTTTAAATCGAACGTATGGATAACAAACACCTAATGAAAACTCTTATTCACATTATCAATAATTGAGATGGCGACACAAATCAACTTATCCATTCACACTGCCGACACAATACATTCATATCATATACCATGTTCACTCATTAATACTTTTTCTTCTTTTTTATTTTGTTTTGTTTATATATGTCTATTCGTACATTGTTTTGCTATTATCATCCACTAATCAATCAAAAAGGAACCAAACAACGTCATCTCTTTGTACTCCAGGATTACTTAGCTTGGAAAATCTCGAATGTTATAATGAAATCGTGACAATAACAAAAGGAAATGAAAAAGTGCGTTGACGGAAAAGTATCCTAATCACAGTGGCTGGCGTCACATGCACGGGGATATCCTTCTTTTCTATATTCAATAAAGCAAATATATTAAAAACTGAAAAAGCTTTTGGAAATTATTGCTTTCTAAGTTATATTTTCGAAAGTTATTTATAATTAAAGAAAAAAATTCTTGTTAAACATCATTAGTCCTAAAATTCAGTTCTAGGTTCGGTTCTTTTGATTATTTGATTCTAGAGATTAGAATTCTTTTGGATATTTAGAAAGTTTGGTTCAATTTTGATTCGGTTCAAGTAACAAGTTGAAAATCAGCTACTATCTAAAATAATTTCAGATCTCATTTGGTTCTGGTTTTTAGTTAATTCGGATAAAAAAATTGAAAATCAAGTTTTTAACATTATATATCACTCTAGTTTAAATGAACGATTGACAAAAAACATTAAATATCAGATTTTGTCTTTTGGTTTCAGATAAAAATTTGATATTACAAATAATTTTTAATTCTTTGGATAAAAATATTCTAGTAACTCAAACTTTCAGGTATTTTGACTTATAAATAATATATTAAATTGTTTGATTATTTAAAAACTAAATATAGATAACATTTATAAATATATAAATATTATAAAAATTTAGATGCTCATTTGATTCTCGGTTTGGTTCAGTTTCGATTTTTTAGTTCTAAAGATATAAGATCCAATGGTATAATTGATAAGATTCAAATCTGAACCGAATCATATTTTTGGTTCAGTTCTTCTGTTTATGATAAACTAGGTGACTGGCCCGCACCCTGTGCGGGTATAAAAATATAGTATAATGTTGAGACATGAGTATCTATTGAGTTCAAATGTGGGAGTTAGTGGAACAATTGAGAGTTTCAATGCTGAGACAAGATTTGCGCAAATCTCTAGGATGTAGTAGAGTTGGGCAAATCGTTACTTTTTCGGTTTGGTTTGTTTAGTTCGGTTTTAATATATTTTTTCAACTGGAATAAACCTTATTTAGTCTGGTTCGGTGTTGTTTTTGCCCAGTTCAATTTATATTCAGTTCGGGTTTGCTTTTGGATCAGTTTAATTAGGCTCTTTGTCGGTTAATTTTTTAAAAGAAAAATTATGTTTTAAAACATATACACATAAAGTATGTGAACTAAATTCAATATTAAACTGAAACAAAAAATAAAAAAGTCACAAAAAGTATATAAGAATAAAAAAATAAAAGTTAAATAAAGTAAAAAAAATTAACATCATTAGTATGTTTTTAATAAAAGTTAATTATTAAAAAAAACAAATGTAAGAAAAATATACAGGAGACAGTGACATTAAAAATGTGATAAAAATCTCATAGATATCACAATCCCATAGAAAATGTGATAAAAATTTAAATATAATTCATAAGTAATATAAAATAAGAAGAACATATGAATTAAAATAATCTCATAGAAACACGAACATAATTGACAGTATATATAATTTGACAGATTCTGTAAGAGAACTCAATCAATCAAGTATGTTTTAAAGCGCTCCAAAGCTCAAGACTTGATAAGTTTCTGCAAAGTAAATAAAATAAATTTGATGTTAGCAGTAAGACTTGATTTTACATTAAGGTATTATTTAAACAAATCAATAAATATGATATCAAGTTGCGCAAGTAATCCGCAATGAAAATAAGGTAAGTTATTAATAAAAAAATTAACAAATTACAAACATGGTAAATTACACTTAAAATCGTGAAGTAAATACTATTCGGATTAAAATTATGCAACCAGTGTAATTTATTATTAAAAATTAACTAACTGAAAAATGAAAATTATTTTAACAAAGCAATAAATATGATACCAAGTTGCACAAGTAATTCGCAATGAAAATAAGGTAAGTTATTAATAAAAAAATAACAATATACAAAAATGGTAAATTACATTTAAAATCGTGAAGTAAATACTCTTGGGATTCAAATTATGCAACCATTGTAATTTATTATAAAAAATTAACTAATTGAAAGTATTAAAAGATGGGCTATACGCACTAATAATAGTGATCTTACAACATTAAGATACCTATTATATTGTCATAAATTACTCTACAGTAAATCTGATATCAACTTGCCCAAGTAATCCGTATTCAATATAAGGTAAGTTATTAAAGCCGAATTAACTAACGGTAAACAAAGCAATAAATATGATACCAAGTTGCGCAAGTAATCCGCAATGAAAATAAGGTAAGTTATTAATAAAAAAATTAACAAATTACAAACATGGTAAATTACATTTAAAATCGTGAAGTAAATAATCTTCGGATTGAAATTATGCAACCAGTGTAATTTATTATAAAAAAATAACTAATTGAAAATATGGCTATATGGGCTAATAACAGTGATCTTACAACATTAAGATACCTATTATATATGGGCTTATAAGATACTTGTTAATGTTTATGACGTAAATCACTACCAAGGCAAACAAAATGTTATTAACGCCAGATCTTTTTGTGGTCGAAAAGACTTACGGGATCACTACAGCATCAATGAGTTCAGAACAAATGAGCAGTACTGGATTTCCAGGACGAGTGAACAACTTGTATCCCGCGAGTTTGCAGTCACCTCATCTGTCCACTGTTGCCGAGAATTGTGTTATATGAGAAACAATGAGTTCATTACAAAAAACAGAGTCTAAAGACAACATTACGTCAAACTANCAATGGGTGTTAAAAATAATGTGGAACACAAGCTAAATCCTTCAAAAGCTCAAAATAAACATTCACCCTTCATGTCACATTATACAAGAAAAGCAAATAAGAATTAGTAGAGTTGTGAAGCTTACCTCTTCAAGAGAACAAAATCGCAAGGGATTTGACGTCTCTGAGCTTCATGATCCGTCTGCAGAAGTTGGTTTTTTGTTTTAAGACCTCTAGATTCACCTCTATATATATAAAGTGAATGTTCTCATATTAATGACGGCAATGTAATATTCTTACAATAAATAATGAAATCATTTAAGGAAAGATATTAAATGTGTATTGTCATAAAATGATATGCATATGATATGATTTTAACTTGCGCAATTAATCAATATTAGTAAGGTAAGTTAATAAAAATAAGTTTCCTAATTAGATACAAATTGTTAAATGTCATTAAGCAATGTAATCAATATGATATCAAGAGTAAATGGTTTACCGTATTTGTAATAAAGAAACTTATTAATACATGTATTCACTACAAGAAAATGTGGGCATAACGACCACAGAAATAGAGGTAATTTGGTCGTAAATAGACTTTTACGACCACACAACAACGAAAGGCGTTTAGTCGTAACCAGCCCGTCATAATAAAGTTTTGGTCGTACTCTAGATGTGGATTTGACGTAAAGTTACGTCCAATCAGTTAGACGTTAGTTGGTCGTAAAAGTTGGTCGTAAAGTAGAAGTCAATCTCGACGTAAAATAGTATTTAAATAGAGGTAACGTGTACGACCACATAACCTCGACTCTTGAATAATAGACACAACTTGGTCGTAAAATGTACGACCAGATAACTTCAATTTGATTTATTTAATACGACCAAATAACCTCTAGAAATATAATAAAATTTCACTTTTAAAATCCACAAATTTAAAATTTTTAATTTACGAAATTTACTATTTAATTAAAAATCATTCATTTCGGAAAGAAATTTAACTTAATATATCCAAAACATAATAAAAATATATATTCAAATTACATAAGAAAACTAATTAATTATTAAGATTAATGTCTGCGAAAAAGTCGGTACTATGTTCATCGACTCCTCGCTCTGCATTTGCTCGTTCTTCTGGAGTTAGGTTGGGATAGATCGTTGAACGTCGAGGTCTCCACAATTCCGCAAGGGCTGGGTTTGTTTCCGCCATAACATCGAACATCTCCGCCATGGCCCTAATGTGGTTCCTGTTGGCCTCGTTGTCCGTCCGGAGGGTCGAAATGACTTGGTTGG